CAAACCACCCCAGTTCTGTTCGAAAGCTATAAAACTGAATATACCCTCCTTAATATATCCGATTCATCAACAAAACGGGAACGAACTGTTAAGAGCGATTGTTAGCCGTTCTAATTTTCTCAGTTAATCCGATCAACCATTTCTTAATTGGCCTTCAGGTTCGTACTCGAGAGCTCAACAGGTTGTCGTCTAGCTGCATCTGGACTCAGTAATCCACGCGGTCCTCCACCGGAGAACCTGGTCACCGATGCGATTGAGGAGCTCATGACGAGTGTCCGAGCTGGATCTTGTTGCGACAAAAACATGCAAGATATGCTCGTTTTGCCTATGGCCCTGGCTGACGGAAAATCGAGCATCCGCACTACTGCCCTCACCTTGCACACCCAGTCGGCTATCTACGTGGCAGAAAAACTCCTGCCGGTTAGTTTTCTACCTTAACGATTTCTTCAAGGTTTTCTAACTTACATATTTAGGCCCAAACTTCCTCATTTTGAATGTCTGAAAGACTTTCACAGATAATAAAATACGTAGACTTCTGAAAGTACGGCCGAAGGCAGTTTCTGCAAAATATCTAGCCTTCGGCAATCTGACTTAGCAAAAGCTGCTTTCATTCGTGAATTTTCCAAGTGTTTTCATGAGTTTCAAATACTAGGTTGGAAAAATATAATTTTGTAGTTCTCCAAAGTATTTCTTGCGGATGCAATGGGGCAACCTTAAGCACAATACAACTGCATTAACCAGGGCGTCTTATGTAAAATTTGCCACATTTGCACTTGCCTACGGCTTTTACTCGAGTGCAGTGCATACCCTATACAAAATGTCTTGCTAATCCATAATCTTTTATAGCTTACCAGGACGGAGGGTTAAACCCATTTCATAGCATAATACCCTTGACGAGTGAATGGTAGTTCGCCAAAACATCCTACTGCTATTTAGTTTGAGGAAGCAAGTTGACTGGTTAGGCGCATAGTCATCTAACTGATAACAACAGCTCATGCCATCTATAAACAAAGATCCTAAGCGTTTAGCCAAAATTAATTTGATCAGCATGACTATATTTACTGAGTATGCTGCTAAAGATGCTTTCACTGACTCTTAAGGTAAAGTTCGTCGTCGAGGAACAGACAGATGGAACAGTCATTCTGTCTTGCGAGGGCATCGGACTTAGTGCATCCTCCTAAATCTCCATCCCCACCCCGACTGAGGCGACTGAGGTAATATGTACTTCATCCAATAAACTTGCATTATGTGCCAAAATCGTTTCTTTCATTCTATCCCTTGGCATGTAGGGCACCTTACGCGATGGTTAGATATTCTCTCAGGCGGAATTTAGGATCTAGATAACCCACCGACCAGAGGGCGGAAATTAGATCGGACTCTGCGTCACACTGGTGTTGAGACCAAAATTACATAAGCTCCGTAACGCTACTACTTGGACTCCTTCTTCCTAACTGGCCGGCTATGTGGGCCAGTACGCGTCATGGGGGTGAGCACTAAATACCGTTAGACTCAGAGCCACAATCCCCACTTTGTACGACCACATATATAGCAAAATCTTTAAAAACTAATGTTTGAAAAACCGAGTGTTGGTGACTCGCAGTCCAAACACTGATGTCTATCAGACCTCCGAACACGCATCCAGAACAACAAAGTTTGAAGCATTTTCTACTCTTTTGTAGCAAAGAATATTGAAAAAAAACAAGATGGTCACAGTTTTGAACCACCAGGGCGATTATACCACGGAAAGAAGCAAGAATGAGGAGCAAAAGACCGTCGCGGCTAGGTGTCCACAAGGCGACGATAAGAGGCCTGGGCCACATGATGACAACAGAGGTGGGGATGAGA